CCCGAAGGCAGGCAAGTGCTTGTGAAATGTCTCGCCGTGGGTCTTAATCCTATGTATGATACCGGATACCCAGCCCACTTAGAGCTTTGTACTGATGGAAGCGATAAAGCGAAGCCCTCCAGCATCACACTGGGATGATGGTAAACGAGTGGCCCGCAATCCTAGGTAGTGATGGCGCAGGTGTTGCCATTAAAGTTGGACCCGACGTCACCAGGCTGAAGGTCGACGACTACGTCTACAGCTGTGCGCCAGTCGGCCAAAACCGATTCACGCCATTTCAAGAAGCTTATCTGGCTCGGGAAGACTTGCTGTTCAAAAAGGGCGACAACATCTCCCTTGAAGACAGCTGCACCATTGGAGCATGTCTTTTGGTAACTATGTGACCTTGCAGACCAATGATCGAGAATATGAAGCTGACAGCTCAACAAGACTTCAACCCTATGTCTCCTTAGTGGAGCAGGGCTTGAGCTTCCCAATGACGACAAAAAGGCACAGGAAAGAGATGAATGGATCGTCGTTCTGGGTGGCAGTGGAAATGTTGGGCAATTTGCGATACAGGTAGCAACCCGAGCCTTGCAAAACTTCTACATCTGACACTCTCAGCTGGGTAAAGTCTGCGGATACAAGGTTCTGGCGTCTTGCTCTCCGTCTAAGCAATGTGTGAGCTCTGTCGACTAAGTACGCATACCGTAGTGCTAACTTTGACCAGATTGCTGTCCGAAGCGGAGCTTCAGCGACCTTTGACAGTCGTGAGACGATCGATGCGCAAGTTGCAGAAATCAAGAAGATTACCGACGGAAACTTTGGCAAAATGATGGATGCGAGCACTTATGGCTACAAAGTCATGGTCAAAGCTCTCGAAACCGCTTCCAATGCAAAAGAGAAATACCTCACGTCGGTTGACTCTTGGTAAGTTTCTGAACCTATTGTGAAGCTTTAAAACACCACTCATGCATGTATCGCTAGGTCTCCATTCTCAACACCATCCTCTATCAACGAGTACAGAGCAGATCTTGGCCATCTCTGCCGCCCCAACGAGAGGGATGGAGCACAGATTACATCCAACATCGCTAAATGGATTCCGTTGCTTGAAAAGCACATCGCTGCTGGGACTTTGAAGCCACTCGAGCATCATGTTGCTGACGGGGTCGGATGGGAGAAAGTTATTCAAGGCATTCAGGACATGGAAAGTGGAAAATTTGGGAAGAAAGTTGTTGTCAGAACCCAGGAAGAATGAACACGCTTTTCTTATTTTTCCCAGTTTGTATTTTCGCGATTGCTGATCTGCGCTGTCTGGAACAAATATGGAATGGTTTGCTGCATGAGAAGCCAATCACGAGATGTTGGGCGGCGCGTAAAATGCAACACAGCCCAGCCCAGTGCGGCTGAGTCTGCTGAGACATCAGGCGCTTCACAAGGGTTTTTCTTCTGTTCTCCCTCCACGATCTTGCTGTCTTCAATGAAAGTATCCGTCATCTTGCTATGTGATATGTATCATTTCAACCGTAGCATTTGTAGCCTCGCCATATTGAAACCACCATGGAAGCAATCGGTGCGGGTGCCAGCACACTGGCCTTTGTCCTCTTAGCCCTCAAGTCAGCCAAAATCATCAATGAGTCACTATCCTCAATCAAAGATGCCCCGAGGATAGTCTCTGAATTGTCGAAAGATATAGAGTCGCTGCAGTCCGTTCTCGGGCGGATATCTGGCAGCTCGCTGCAACACGCGTTGACAAGCACAATTGAGTCATTAAATGACATTCTACAAGCGTGCACGACAGAGCTGTCGTGCATAGAACGCCAGCTCGCAAAATTCTCTACAAGCTCTGGCAGTAGTCGTTCGAGTCGCATGTGCAAGGGCGTTCTCGCATATGTCAAGAAACAAGACCTAGAGTGTGCACGAAGCAGGATTCGAGACAAGTCAACGCAGATAAACCTTTACCTCAGCCTTCTTCAAGCGCAGTCACTTTTGCAGGTGTCATCAAGGATAGATACTCATGCCACAGCGACGGCAAGCATCCTGAAGCAGATACTTGGAGAGGTGTCAAAACTTCACACAAATCTTGACCAAGATGTTGCAGCCAGTGAGGTCGAGCAGCTTCCGACAACCGCAAAAGATGACGCTATAGACAGCGCAATAGCTGGTCAACTTGGTGCCATGGCACTCTGTTCCGAGCTTGAGTCTAGCATATCCCGCCTATCTACTCTTATAGACCATGACGGCCTGACCTTGGATGCCGACGATGCAGAACAGATCATTGATGACTTGCGAAGATTTGTTGTGATTGCCAAGGAGAGGTCGATCGAAAGGTCTAGGCTCAGTAGCAAATTCACTGGCTACAGTTCCGCCACAGAGGATGATACGAAGGCTTTAGGTAGAGATCTGAAGCTGATAGAAGGACTGATTCTTTCCGCCCCCATCATTGCAATCAATCAGTCTGGTAAATATATCATCAGTTTGTTCCTGTGACCCATAACTGACTCCAAATACTAGCCTCTGGTTCCCGAAAGCTTCGTTCTCACTTGCCGCATGGTACCATCATCAAGCAGAAGCGAATAAGAGAAGAGATCGATGTCGATCATGGCTATCTCACAATCTCAACCAACAGGAGAAGACGAATATGTACTGGGAGCTCTCCTGGCTCATCTGGAAGTGTCAACACCTTTCGAGATGTTGTCGCTAACCTTGTGTTCCGCCCGTCAAACTCTCCTTGGATGTTCTCAGTCTCACTTTCGCAGGGTCAGCTTTTCGATCGAAGCATTCAGAGTATCCCACGAATATCGGTCTGCCGCATAGTCCCGAATGACTCGCCTGTCTTTTCTTTGGTGAAGAAAGGCTCACTCAAGGAGTTCATCACCATGCTGCAGGATGGCAAAGCAAGCTTACGTGACCACGACGAGCAGGGTATGCCGCTTCTACATGTAAGAGAGTCTGATATGGGACCACATGACGTGTAATAACCCTAGTGAAGTATGCAGCTACGGCGAGCGTGGAGATGTGCAAGTTCTTGATCGAGTCTGGTGCAGACGTGGATGAGATGGGCGAACATACGGGTACTGCCCTCTCGCGCATAGCAGGGCTGGACCGACATGATACGACACTGGTACTACTCGAGAATATGGCTGATCCCACGTTGTCATACCCGGGATGGGATAACCCATTGTCCACGGCTTGTAACCTAGACCTTGTAAGTATTCGAAAGATACCAAACACATGTGCTGACATAGTATAGCCATCAGCAGAGCTCTTCCTCAAGCACGGGGGATACTTCACGATGCATGATCTAGAGAGCTTCGACCTAAATGGAAGGACAAGACTTCACCAGGTTTGTATGGCAGAGAGTAGAAACACGAACAAGAAGAAAGCAGTCAATATGCTGGCGGCGGCTGGAGCCAACCTTAACGCCCGCGTGGCAAAGTCATGGTCTCCCGACGATCATCAGACATTGGGGTTCACGTGCCTGCACAGTCTTGTTTACAAAGCTCATCGAAGCAGAGACCGGGACGAGTTGGAAGCCCTCATCTTCCTGATCCAACAAGGAGCAGATGTCCTTGCGGTTGACCATCATCAGCATAGCGTTTCAATGCGCGCATATTTACCTAATGATGGCGATAACCAGTATTCGTCCAAGGGGTCATACAGAGGTGATCTTTGGGATGCTGCTATCACGATATGCGGCTATGATATTAGCCCACATAGAGATGCATATCCCAGAGTGCCCAGGTATAACAGAAACTACAGAAGGAAAGACTTTGAGAGATTATGGGAGGGGTATAAAGGCCTCTGTCCGTATTGGACAGATGAGCGATATCCAGAAACAGGCGGCGATGACGACCACTGGAAACAACCTGTGAGACGCTGCGAGCATATCGCATGTTCAGATTGTGAAGAGCTTCCGCCACAAACTGATGAGTATGACGTGGAGCCAAAAATAGATGCCCATATCCCAGACTACGCCCAAGCTATATATCGCGAATGGTACTTCGCTCGCAGTCCGGAGTCTAATCCTAGCCATAGACCTTACATAGATCATATTTCGAACCATTATGACGATGATGACGACGAAGAGGAGAGTCGGTCCCCTGATATTTTTGAGGTGGGAGGCGGGGAATCTAGTGTAGATGAGGGATCTGATGGGGGTGTTCAGTTTGACAATGAGATGAATAGACCTTCACCACCGAGCAGTGAAGATGGGGAAGCAGCTTACGAGAGATTGGTTGGTTCATATGAGGATGAAGAGATGGAATATGATGACTACCCTAGTTTCGTCGATAGATGGCTGGAGCACTATATTCGAGCGGCCGAAGAAGAACATGAAGAAGAATATGAAGGAGAGTGTGAGGAGATAGTGGATTAATCAAATAAACTACTGTTCTGGGTCAAGCTCCGATACTCAACAGTGATGATAGATATACGACAAAATAGGTGACGTAAGATATCGACTAGACTCTATATTTTGGATTACAATCAATGATCCCAAAGCCTTCAAGTGGTATTTCATCAAGAATTAATAATATGCGGATAGAATTATAATCAAACACATCATGAAAGCGGCGTGTGCGGCACCGCTTTTGCCGATAATTGCTTACAGCTCTCAGCATGCCGCTCGATCGAGGAGTGGCTGCTTACTGGCCCCAACTTGCTTACCATAACATCGAAATCCGAATACCCGAGCCGCGCGTGAGACAGCCGTGTCATGCAGTACTGCAGAGCCAAGCATCAGGCCTCCGCTGTATAGGCTATCCATCATTCACCGAAACGCGCGGGTACAAGTCGGGATTTGTAAGAAAGCACAACGGCCCATATGCCTTGCGGGCATATAAAATTATTAATACTGCAAAGTGAGCTGGGGTGCCCGTGAATCTAGTTGAGTATAAATGCGTTAGATACTGGATAAAGTTTGATAAACATCCTTCTACTCAACACATAGACTCCTCTCCTCCCTTGACAGAACCTCCTTTATTTCATCATTTCGCACTTTTAAAAATCGCAAAAGCAACATGGCTGCCATCAAGAGCATCGCTCTCATCACAACAAGTACTCGCAAGAGTCGAGTTGGTCCTCAGATCACCAGTGTCATCAACGATATCCTCACTGGCGATGCAGATGCCAGCAAGAACACCAAGATCTCCCTAGTAGACGTCGCAGACTTCAACCTCCCCGTCTTCGATGAAGAAATCATGCCCGCCATGGTACCCGACAAGGGTTCCTTCAAGCATGCTCACTCTATTGCCTGGAGTAATGAGATCAAGAAGTACGACGGCTACATCTTTGTCATTCCAGAGTACAACTTTGGCCTTGCCGGCGGTACCAAGAACGCTGTTGATTACCTGTACAATGAGTGGATTGGCAAGGGTGTTCTGATTATCAGCTATGGTATCTTTGGAGGTAATTCTGCAAGTGAACAACTTGATAAGACCCTGAAAGGCATGAAGCTCAATGTTGTTGATACTCGACCTGCGCTTGGATTTCATGGTGGTGTTGGTGATGATCTCTGGCTTGCTGGTGCTGGAAAGCTGGGCGATGACACCAAGAAGGATATCATTGCTGAGACGCCTACTATCCTCAAGGCTTTTGGTGAATTGAAGGATCTGATGGACAAGCAGGTGCCCAAGGATAGCCAAAAATGATGTATAGATCATGAGCGCTGGTCATTGTTTCCTATTTATAGAGTCAGTATATAAATTCAGTGATATTACGTTTTGACAAGTGTTGTTTCAAATTGATATAGCGGACTGCTGATTTTATCGCGCCTTTGACCTCATATCTCGCAGCGTAAAAAGGAGATGTCGTGATCTGTTTGGATACATGATATCCTAACCGAATGTCGAAAACCGCAAGAGATATCGCGCTTCTCTCTCGAAAACATGCCAAGATGGGTCCCCCGATGATCAGAGGCTAGGCTAGTGCCATCAGTCGTCGTCGTCGTGTCAGTCGACGTGACTTCGGTTCGCTGATGATTGGTGGCTGCACTGATATCAGAAGGCTGAAACTTTTCATGGACGCGGGTATGTGGCGTCAAACGTAGAGGCCTGGACGGTTCTCAGTGCAGATAAGCTCGGGGTCTAGAAAGCCATAGATAGATCATCCATGTGGAGATTGATTGATTTGTTAGATGAGCATTTGAGAAACGCGTTGCCTAGATGGATACGGGGACTTGATCAGCCTTGAATGTGGATGCATGCGATTGACGTGATAATTACCGAATGTTCTGACGGGAACAGTGGTAGATGGCGTTCTAGACCAGAATGTGGCTTGGAGAGTCTCAGATGGATCGTAGTAGATCACCCCAGTTTCTTCTGCCCTGTATTCGGGAGGAATGCAAACGCGAACTATCGCTGTTGCTTAGGTATGTGTGAGTATTACATGTGCAAATCTCCCTTTTCCTCCTGGAGCACCTTCAACGTTCATGTTGCATCACCTGTCCCCCATGGGTTATGCTAGTGACTGTGACTTCAATATCAAGGCGCGGCCTGCATATCATCACTTGAGGTTATACGAGACTCAGCAATCTTCAAGATGCCAATAGACCCAAGCGGCCCAACGGTCATTGTACGACACGCGTCTCATACTTGACACGCTAAATTGCTGAATCATTTGCAGGCTACTGAATGGGCCCTTATCTCAGTCGCGACCGCAGTCATTCTAGCACGGTTGTATCTCCGTCTCGTTCTACAACGACGAAATCTACTAGCAAGTGATGTTTTCATGTGCGCCGCATGGGCTTCGGCCGTCGCGACAGCAAGCTTCGATATCTATTTCTTTCGTATAGGAATCTTCAAGCCCGGTACCACGTTCGATCTCGCCGGGTTTGAAGGAACTGCGGCAGAGGCCGAGAACTTCTACAAGGTACATACGCTCTAGATTATCCAACAATATCCTTAGCTAAGATACTTGACCAGCTCTACTATTTTTCCACGTATCCCTTCTACGTCACGTTCTACTTGTCCAAGGCAGCTCTACTGGCTGTGTACCTACAGATTTTCCCTAGCTTTATGGTAAAGAGACGTCGATTCCTCTGGGTTGTTATCGTCTACGTCGCGATAGGTTTCGTTATTACAATACTATTACTCAGTCTTTCATGTCTACCAACATGGAGAAACTGGTGGGTTTATTTGATAGCAGCCTATGCTTCGAAGGCTATACTAACATGTCTCGAAGGACCTTGTCGGACCAAAGATGCACCGTTGAAACCATCAAAATCAACTTCGAAATCTCCTGGGTGTTAAACATCAGTGCAGATATTCTCAGTACGCCATGATCCCAGAGTCTCAATAATTTGTACTAATCAGTAATGGTACATAGTTTTCATTCTACCCTGGCTCGTTATTCCGGAGCTGACACTGCGAAGGAGACTGAGGTATAGTCTTTACGCAACGTTTCTCCTCGGTGTCATCAATATTATCTTCTGTGTAGTCCGCTTTGCTCAGATTCAGCAATATGGTGGTGATTTGGTAATCACCATCAGTCTTGTCGGTAAGTATCATAATTGCGAAACCTACTCCCGACCAGAGAAGAGGACTGATAAAGCAACTCTTCACTTATGCAGAATTATGGAGTTTCATCGATGCTTGCATTGGCCTGATCATAGCATGCCTTCCATCGCTCCGGCCTTTCTTCAACTGGCGAGAAAAGATTCAGTACTATGGCCACAGCAGCGGTCAAGATAGCAAAGGGTATTCAAGCCATAACTCGGGAAGGCCCATGATATCATCAGACCCAGAACGTTTGAGTCAGCCTTCCAACGTTCACTTGAGTGAAGATATGCAACGGAGATTCTCCGTAGCGTAAAGATAGGGGACGAGAAGGAATCTTGGCCATCAAGGAAAGACATTTTGCATTATCTATCATAATATACCCTTCTGTTGAGTTGGCTTTTTATCATACGAAGACTCTGAGGCGTTCAAGTTACTTGGGAATATAATTTTCTTATTGCTCCTACGGGAACTGATTGTGTTTAACCAGGCTGAGAAGATCGTATGTCACTCTCTACTGGCCAAAGCAATTTTATGTATGCAAAAAGCCGTGCAAGCCGGCTATCGTTGTATGTTCAGTTATGTGCTAAGCTATGTACAATGAAGTAAAGACCGGTCCTGAGTGAAGTCCAGTCACAAGTCCGGACTCGTAAACACGTAATCCCATCTGAAGCTTCTAAAGGTACAGGGAATGACTGTCTTCAAGAGACTGCCATACCGTCATGACCCGCAGAATTTCTTTTCGTAACGCCTCTTTACTGGGAGACAGTCATGCTGGCAGAGCCGGAGCTGTAGTAGCCCTCAACAGCAAGGATCTGATAGTTGTGGTTACCAAGGTTGAGGCCGACGTTCTTCCAGGCCTGGAAGTGAGCACCGGTGTTGACGGATCCGCTGGAACGCTTGTTGCGTCGGACAGACCAGTACTGCTGAAAGGTCTTGTTACCCTCAATGGAGGGGGCGTTGACACGGGTGCTGACGTAGATGTCATAGACAGATCCGTCAACGGTGACCTCACCCTTCTTCTGGCCGCCGGAAGAGGGGTTGTAGGTGCCAAAGTTCTCAACGATATAGTACTCGATGAGAGGGTTCTGGGTCCATCCGTAAACAGCAAGGTAGCTGTTGCCGTTGATGTTATAAGTACCAGAGTACTTGATGGTGCTGAATAGAAGGTTAGCATAAGGCTCGGCGACGCAGCGCAGATGGAACTTACCGAGCAGCACCGGGCATCCAGCCCTTTCCACCGACGTGGTTACCGTTTCCACTCCACTGCATGCTGAACTGGCCACCGTTGCCGTTGGTGTATGTGACAGAGTTGGGTGTATCAGTCCAGAAAGAGAAGTAGTAGCCACCGCTTGTGCCAGTAGTGGGCTGAGTGCGCTTGTCGAGGACGTTTGTGGGAGGATCACGCTCGACAACGCTCATGCCGTCAATGGGCTGAGCGGAGGGAAGGGCCATGACGCCAGTGACAGCCGAGACGGCGGCGAGGAGGGAGGTGAAGGAAACCATTTTGATGATGTTGGCTTGAAGACTGTTGGAGACTGAAGCTGATGGTTGATGGGATGAAGAGACTGATTGATGAGGACTCTTGCCGTCTTTATATTGCCAAGTGGTAGCCCCTCGGCGATCCTTAATTGCTTTACATCATCCGAGTCTGGCCCAAGTTCGCGAGACTTGTGGGGATAAGGGATTGCCTAACATGGATGTGAAAGTGTCCGAGATCGATCTAAGCCTGTATGAAGTGTATACCCAATTTTGCCGGTGAGATAACCACTGGGAAAGTAAGGATCGATGGAAATGCTTGTTTGACGAGTTGAAAGCAGTCATCCCAGTGTGATTAGTGGGTCGACGATACCCCGGAAACTGAACCAGGTCAGTAGTCATCTCCGCACTATGAAACATGCTAACCGTAGGGGTTTGGTTTATCCGGCCTTTGTGCAATTTCGGAGGAACAATGCCCGGATCGTCCGATTTAGGACAAGACATGATCTCGAATGGGAAAAGCAAAAGTCGGCATTCGTAACATGGAGCCACATGGCATCGATGCAAGGCTTGCTATAGAGCCATCTCGAACGGGGCGGAGGTTGCATTGACTGCCGAAGACCCCAGACACGTCCGCGAGCTAGGAGCTGGGCCGAAAACTAAAGTCTTTGATTAGGAAGGGGAGGACGAGGATCGGTCATTCAGCCTAAAGACCAAGGTTGCGTTTCAAAAGATCAGCGTGAGGGTGCATGGTGTTTAGCTGAGGTCTATTAAGATGTAAAACAAAGAACCCAGTCTAGAACTTGCTCATGACTCAGGGATAACACGAGAATGCACACTTGTTTAGCGACCCTTTGCTTTGGTAATTGGTGCATTTATTCGGGAATGATCCGTGCTCAGTGCACACACGGTTAAAACCGAACGATGATGGTGTCTTTGACAGGACAGATGCGACATTGGCCAAGGTATCCGTACGTAGGTATTGGATAGCGGTCTGACATACAAGTTGGCCTCGGCTAAATTTAAGAGTCCATACATCATGACAAGAGGATCCGCCAAGCCGCGTTTTAGTGGCGATGTAACTCCAACACTTTAAATCCAAGGCACATATCAATGCACTGTGAGCTTGCGGGGAACGTCAAAATGGTCGAATCAGGGTATCAAATCGTAGTCTCTCTCAGAGGCATTGGACCCAATTCAGGCAAAATGCCAATGCCGAACTTTCATCCAGCCAAGACTGTTCCTGCGCCGTGATTAACCGCCAAGATGAACTTTCAGCTCGGCACGATCCTACTGCCATAGACTCTCACGACAGCTTCATCAAGCACATACGACCAAAGCTCGTAGAAAATACGGGATCCCGTCCGCTCTCCCATAGTCAAGCTGCGAAGCGCTGGATTAGTAGTTGGGTCGGTGACGACCAGCGAATCCCCGGTGTTGTATGTTATTTTTGCCCCATATACAAGTGGAGGAACCTGTCGGACCGGCTGCCTTTTTGCTCTGCGTATGATACCCATGGGTTGCTTCGTATAATCATGGTTGGGATGTGTAACCCCCAGCTGTGAGCCGCATTATCCAGAAGCCGGGGTAAATCCGTATCATGCAGCCTTCGCAATCGCCGAAAGTCTGTATGTGATCATCATAGCAATCTTGCCCTCATTTGCTGCAATTATCAT